CCTGCCATGCCAGCCCCCAACCCCCTGCCATGCCAGCCCCCAACCCCCTGCCATGCCAGCCCAGCAACCCTTGTCATGCCAGCCCCCAACCCCCTGCCATGCCAGCCCCCAACCCCTCTGTCTGTTCTGACCCAAACAGCAGCGGGCAGAGCCCAGAGGGGTGTGCTGGGCACCCTGCAGGAAGTACAATGTTCTTGCCTGCCTATAAGGATCCTTTTTCCTGGTGGGCACCCTGAGTGAGCAGCTGCTGCTGAGCAGCCTTGTCAGTGCCTTCTGCTGAAGCAGCTGTAAAACGGCAGTGGATGAAGTTCGTGTACAAATGGAGAGTCTCTTGGTTTTCATGTTCTAGGGAACAGTGACTTCCAAATCCTATTTCATCAGGTCTTTAGGAGTTTGATGAGCACTCTTAATAATACTGTTCAAGTATTTCAGCTTCTCTTTAGCTTCATGCTGGGGTATTTTCCACATGGAGTTTAGGAGTCACTGGCACGTTTTCCTTTCCACAGAACTTCAGGTACATCAGTATCATGGGCATGGATGCAACTCAGTCTTGCATCAGTGATGAACTGAGTCAGCTGAACAGCAGACATTGAAGTTAATAATTGCATTGGGATCTTTAGTAAAATCCTAAGTCTTCAGAAATGAAGGGAGAGTAGTTATTTAATCTTGTGCTGAAAAAGTAATTTCCTAGTTACATCCTCCTGTCAGTTTTTAATATCAAACTGGTGCTTCAGCAGGTGCTGACTAGAGCTGGCTGGAATCAACATGGATGTTCACTCTGTTTTGAGTGGGGAGGCTTGACAGGGGACCTTCAGATATCCCTTACAACTTAAATGACTTTATGGAAAAGCACTTAGAATTTCTGGCACTACATGTCATCTTATGTTGCATTGTTTTCTTTTAGAAAGGAATTTATGATGAAGCATTAAGCAGTTTCTTTAGGAACGTGGATACAAGGTAAGTCCTTTTAACAAGCAGCTCATACATTTCACAGATCAAAATTCTAACTGAAGTTAGTTTTCTTTGCTTTGGGTCATACTTAGCTTGTGCTAGGAAAAGATTTTGCTTGAATAGAACAGTTAAGGACTTGGATGGGCTGTTGCATTTTTATTAATTAAGAAGCATTTGACCAGCCCCCTTTTCTTTCCATCCCGTGGCAAGGCTGCAGTGTGCCATGCAGTGGTAACTAAAAGGGCATTGAAATACTGATTATTTTCAACTTTTACCTCTTTGAACAAACATGCAGGTGCATGTAAATGTGGTGGAAGGTATGGGCTGGCATGAGAGACCACAAAGACAGTCTGAAGAGAAAAAAACATCGATTGAGGTTGTTTGGGTTTTTTCCACTTCGAGTTTTGTTAGTCCCTGAAGACAGGCTGGGAGAGTTGGGGTGTTCAGCCTGGAGAAGAGAAGGCTCCAGGGAGACCTTAGAGCACCTTCCAGGGCCTGAAGGGGCTCCAGGAAAGCTGGGGAGGGGCTTGGGACAAGGGCAGGGAGGGAGAGGACAAGGGGGAATGGATGAAAACTGGAGGAGGGGAGATTGAGGTGAGACCTGAGGAGGGAATTGTGGAGTGTGAGGGTGGTGAGAGCCTGGCCCAGGTTGCCCAGGGAAGCTGTGGCTGCCCCATCCCTGGCAGTGTTGAAGGGCAGGTTGGATGGGGCTTGGAGCAGCCTGGGCTGGGGGGAGGGGTCCCTGGAACCTGATGATCTTTAAGGCCCCTTCCAACCTGAACCGTTCTATGAATCAGAGCTTCTCTAGCTGGATTTCCTGGTGCTGTAGAGGACGCTATCCTTGGAGGTGTTCAAGAAACATGCAGATGTGGCACTTCAGAGCATGCTCTAGTGGCCAAGGTTGTGGGTTGTTTTTCAGCTGGTGTTTTCTGGTGCAGAGTGTGTGGTTGGTTGTGTTTGTTTGTGTCAGTGGTTCGACTCGGTGATCTCAGAGGTCTTTTCCAACCATGAGGACCCTGTGACTCCTGCAGGGAGCTGGGTAGGCCTCAGTAGTGACAGGAGTCCTGGAGGGGCTGTGAGCTGTCAGCTGAGAGGTTCCTGCAGCAGTCACTCAGATCTCACCTTGAGCAGCAGCACGTGCTGGGCTACCCCATGGGAACTGGTGGTGTCCTGTACTGGCATTATTTTGGGGAATTACAAGGCCTTTCTTAGTAGCACGTTCAGGTCCTGTTTGTGTGCATTGTAACAGTCCTCTGAACACAAAGGATTAAGGAGGGAATTTTAATTCATACTGTCTTGTTTTCTGTTACGTTTCTGAGCTCGGATTTTTATTTTTCTTTTTTCCAGAAGTGGTGGTGATGGTCCTGATATTTCCAAAGGAAAAATCTGCTCTTTAAAAGCTCGAGTAAGGCAATCTGTAAAGGTTGTTCTTTTTACACTGCATGTTTGCATCCAACTGTGTAGGCATTTTCATGAGGTCCTTGTAACTGCTTGTTTACAAGTGCTACTTAGGATAGTAACATTTCCAATAGTAACATTCATGGTTCAGTTGCTGCCAGTCTTGTCGAGTCATTTAACTTACAATTTTAATAAAATGATTGCAGATGTTACCAAGCTTTCATTTGAATATTCTAAGGAGGGGGGTTTCTTTTGACCCATTTTAAGTGATTAAGAAAACCTGAAACATAAAAAATGGTATATTTTCTTTTCTCTGAAGTATTGAGTCAAAATAGTACAAAATGCTGACAAAATGGCACTGCCTGCAGCCCTGTCCTGTGGAATGATTTCTGGCCAGTCGGCCAAGGTGAATCCAGTTGGTCTTCTGATTTACAACTAAAAACCAAATTGTTTCTCTGGAGCACAGTAGGAACTACATACCTTTAATACTGTAAATCCCTTTCTGTTTCCTTGCATGGTCTCATTGCAGAGGGGTTTGCTGACTGGCTGAATTCTCATTCTTTCCTTTCTCCAAGGCGCTGTTGATTGACATGGAGGAGGGAGTGGTAAATGAGATTCTGCAGGGACCACTGAGGGATGTGTTTGATAGCAAGCAGCTTGTCACAGATGTTTCTGGTTCAGGAAACAACTGGTGAGAACCTCTTCAGAAATCATTTCTTGGCAACTCATGAGCTGGCTTTTGAAAAGGGGGATGATAACGGGAGCTTTCTGGTTCTTTCTGCTGCACCTGGGGAGCTGCAGCTTATTGCCAGGAAACTTTGGAGTCACTGCTGCCTGGAGGAGGGCTTTGAAAACCCTTTTACAGAAGGATAATTCTGGTGATATATCATTTTATCTATTTGTTCTCTTTTTAAATTTTCTCTTTCAAAAGAACATGCTTTTTGTTTGTTTCCTTGGTGTTCAGCTGCTTCCACTGTGCAGTCAAAGCCATGATCTAGTTTGAGACTGTGCAGCTAGTGTGGAAATGAAGTATATCAACACATGCACTTCTGATTCTAAGCACCACAGAGTCTGGTTTTATGCATATTGGGTATTCTACCAAAAAGAGACATTCAGAAAAAGAGAGATTAAAATCATTAATTGAGATTTTTCACCAAGACCTTCATCTGCCTCTGATAATATTTGGTCAATAGAGGTGCAATAGAGGGAGCAAAGCATCCCAGAACTTCACCATCTAGCCTGCAAGTGTGTTGAAAATGAGCTGTTTGGTCTTTTTTGCTGGAATTGTAAGTACCTTTCATATTTCCAGGGCTGTAGGGCATAAGCTGTACGGCTGTCGGTACCGGGAGAGCATTGTGGAGAAGCTGAGGAGAGCTGCAGAGCACTGTGACTGCCTGCAGTGCTTTTTCATCATTCATTCTATGGGGGGGGGTAAGTAATGTTTTAATGGCTGGTGTGAGTGCACCACAGGTGAGAAAGAAAATCCTGGATCTTGAAAAGAAAATCGATGCAATGGTTTACATCATGAAGAGTGCAGAATAAAAAAATTCTGAATGCAGTTCAATTAAGTGGACCTGCAATTATTTGTTATTTGTTTTGTTAAAGCACTGAGGAGCCCTACTAGTGACCTAAGGTTAGTGCTACCCAGAACAAAAATACAGCTAAAATTTTAAATACAAGGCAGTGAGTCAAGACAAGCACCAAATACAAGGAAACCCCGAGGTGTTATGATCAGAAGAAGGGACAGTGGCCTCAGAACACTGACCCCATTGTTGTAACCAAGGTGCTTTTGATCATGGGGAAGTTTTCCAGAAGTCTTTGAAGGAGACTGCTAATGTTGCTAGAGAAAGACTGTTTTTCTCTTTTCCTTCCACATAATACTCTCAAGTCTGGCCTAGCTACTTTGTTAATAAATCAGAAGGGAGAACCCCAAATGTTTTCTTTCAAATTTCAAGTTAAAGATTTCAAAATAAGAAATAAAAATACTAGGTCAGAAAAATGTTGGTTGTGTAATAGGACTTTTTTGTTTGCAGAAATGTTTTGAGCTTGTGTACTTCATCCTGTCTGGTGCACTCTGGGGAATACTTGTATCACTTCATTCTTTTCCTGTCTGGGAAAAACCTTCCTGCCTCAGTTTACATTTGAGTAGCCTCCACTGCCAGCCAGGAGCTTAAGAAAATGTTCATTAATTTAAAAGTTGTGTGTTTCCAACATGTGAGGTTTAAGGTATATGCTAACATGGGGAACCTTTTATCTTCTCTCATTCTCCCTTCATAATTAGGGACTGGATCTGGTCTTGGAACTTTTGTACTAAGTTTGCTGGAAGATGAATTCCCAGAAGTGTATAGATTTGTCACTTCAGTTTACCCCTCTGGTGAAGATGATGTTATTACTTCTCCATATAACAGTGTTCTGGCTATGAAGGAGCTTAATGAACATGCAGACTGTGTGATACCAATAGAGAATGAAGTAAGAAGTATTTTCTTTCTGTAAACTTTTTTTTTATGAAGCTACACACAGGAACTGTTTCTTCCTTCTGTGCCTTGATTTGAGTGCCAGTCTTTAAAAAAGCATGATTTTATTTTTTAAAACAATAATTGAACTCCTAAGTCACTTGCAGGCTTTTGAAATTGATGTGTACCACTAAAGGTGGCTCTGCACCTTCAGAGTAGTCTAGAGTGATTATTTTCATGTCTATTTCAAGGTTTCAGTGAGAAGCTTCTATTTACTGGGGCTGTTTTATATTCTTTGAGCAATCACTTTGTGCATGGAGTTAGAATCCCAAGGGAGGTGATGAACCATTCCAAACCCCAACAGACTGGGCTTGACTGGTTAATTGTGTGGGCACCAGAGGCTAAACTGGCCATGTGAACCTCATCTGAATTTAACTGTGATGGCTCTACTGCTGTTTGCTTATGAAAAAAACAACCAAGCAAACAAAAAAAACAGCAAGGGGAGTCTATTTAGGGAATATATCTTTGCTTTTGCAGGAATTATGAGGCTTTAAAATTTAATTTTAGAAGATGAGGGTTCTGATTAGTTCAATAAAATCCAAACTTCTGAGTCAAGCTTTGTACATGTTTGTGACATTCAAGGAACAAACACCCTTTTAGAACCACTTCAGAGCATTGGAGTTGGTCAGAAGTTGGACTTAAGTGTATCAGAGGTGTAATCTTTGAACTAACGATGTCATGTCTTGGCTTTTCCTTTAAGATTAATTGAATTTAAAAATAGAGGTGCTGAATTTGAAAGATCTGCCCTCAAGACTTCCTCTCTGCTTTTTTTCTCTCTCTCAAAGTCCCTGTTTGATATAGTTAATAAAATCCATCAGGTGACCAGCTCTGGGAGGCTAGGGTCAGCTGTGAAGCACAGCAGCTTGGTCACATCCAGTGCAGGCCATGCCAGAATCCTTCCAGAGAAGCCATTTGATGCCATGAATAATATTGTAGCCAACTTGCTGCTCAACCTGACCAGGTAAAGTTACAGCTTAGCGCTCTGGAGAAGGTGGTGTGTGCTGCAAATACACAGGCCTGCAGCAACTCAGCAGGAGTTGTTTTCCATTTGATACAAGTCTCTGTTTTTTTAAGAATTAGTTAGTAAAGAAATGTTCAGGTGTTTGGAAGCATCAGGCTGCAGGGCTGGTGCTGCAGCCAGGTTAGCTTTGGGACTGGAGGAAGAGGTTTCTGGGCAGCAGGCTATTGCCTGCCACCAGTGCTTAATGGAGCCCAGGGGGGTTTGCCTTTCTAGGCCAATGGTTTTATTTTATAAATGCCAGCAGAGCATTGTTGCTGCTCAATGTCCATTGCTGTAAGAAACCCCTGGTGAAATAACTTCTGGAGTGTTGGCCTTTTCCTTCAAACAGCTTGTCAGGACTGCTAAGCCATGCCTGGTCTGTGATGGCCTGTGCATTACAACTGGTGTGCAGCAGCTGTGGCCACTGCTGAAAGCAGTGCTGCAGGCTGCAGCAGGGACAGGTAGGCTCTCCTTTCTTGAGGATTAGCTTTTCTCTGAAGGGAAATATAAGGAAATCAGATATGGCACTGCTGCTGGCAGACCTGGCAGCTTAGTCCCTGAACATCCACAGCCTCTGAAATGTTGTGTTACTGTTTTGTTGTAGGGAACAACTGAAGAACAGATGTCATGAATGTTTACCTTATAAAAGTAATTTGCTTAGTCTATAGCAGTTTTATAAGTTTGTTAATTTTCCAGCTCTGCTAGGTTTGAAGGTTCCCTTAACATGGATCTTAATGAAATCAGCATGAATTTGGTTCCATTTCCTCGACTTCATTACTTGGTTTCAAGCTTGACTCCTCTGTACACCTTGGCTGATGTCAATGTACCCTCTAGAAGGTAAGAAGAAAATATTATGGAGGCTTTACCTTTGAAGGTTAGTTTCTAATCCTTCCGTAGTCTTCATTGTAAAATTCCATCCTATTGCAAAACTGAGGGTAGAAGCTCTAAAAGATTTAAGTCTGCCAGATTGTCAGATTCTGATTTTGAGAACATCCTTTGGCCTTTTCTCTGCTTTTCTCTCTGAATCTGCAGATTCTCTGCTTAAATTGTCACAACCAGAACCTCAAGGATTTAAATCATTTTACATATTTTAATACTTTGTGACCATTGACCTAAAATTTCCTCAGTAAAGGTTTCTTGATCTGTTTGCTTCTCTGACTTCAGACTCAACAGTGGGTTGTAACATGAGGGAGAAATGGGTCTGCTCTGTTTTTAAAAGCTCCTAATGCCAACGTGTTCACACACAAAGCTTTGACTCTTCCCTGTTATTCCCAGGTTAAATGTACCATTATTTCCAGAATTTTATCGACTTTCAAACCCTGACAACAGGCGTTCAGAAGAACTTCCCTTGCCTGCTTTAAGAGCAGACAGCTGTTTTCTTTCTGCCTAGGTTGGACCAGATGTTCTCAGATGCTTTTAGCAGGGAGCATCAGCTGCTTGGGGCAGACCCCAAGCACAGCCTCTACCTGGCCTGTGCTCTGCTGCTCCGAGGGAACGTGCAGGTCTCGGACCTTCGCAGGAATATTGAGAGGTTTGTGACCCCCACACCAGCCACTCCTGGGATTTGCAACTGAAACTCTTGCCAGTTGTCCAGAGCACCCTCACTTTTCCTCTGAAGAATTTCAGTACTAAGTCAGTTGGGTCAGAAGTATTTTTACTTCATTTCAGAAAGGTGGAAAATAGCTTACCGAGTGAGTAAGGATAAGGCACAGCATTCTGGGACTTCCAAAGGAAAGGAGCTGAGTAGGACTCCCTGTGGTGCTCCTCCCATTCTCAAAAATGCAAAAGAGAGCAAAGCCCAACCTTCCAGAGATCTCCTGCCAGGGAGGGATGTTGCAGGAATGGATTCTCTAGGAGAAGATAATTTTTTCTGAAGGGAAGTCTGCTCTGTCATGGTTATTCTTGTGTAGACAGGGACTCCTTCTTACTTTAACAAGTCTGTGTTGGCAGCACTGTTTGGTACCTGTTGCACAGTCACAGCAGGAGAGGCAGCAGCTGCACACACAGGGTGGATCATACAGCCAGACAGAGGCACATGAGGAAAATCTCTAAGAATCACAAGCATTTTACTTCTAAACTCTAGGTGTACTGGTTGTCCCTGCACAGGGTTAATCTGGCCCTCTCCTACATCTCAGAGTGCCTGCAGTCCCTTCTACAGAAATAGGTGCTTGTAACTTTACTTTTCAAACCCTGATACATTAAATTAGCAAAACAAAATCAGTGGTTGCAGTTTGAATTTAAAGTAGACACTGATTTAGTCTGAATGTCTTACTCAAAATGCCAGTTACCTAGTTACAACTGTCTGTCTGTCTCCTGAAAGCTTTTGTGTCAACCTTTCCAGACTGAGCTAAGGAAATGTAGGCTGTGTTTTCTTTACTTTCCCTCAGTAACTACATTTTTCTATCACAGGTTGAAGCCTTCCCTGCACTTCGTCTCCTGGAATCAGGAGGGCTGGAAAACTGGCTTGTGCTCAGTACCTCCTGTGGGCCATTCCCACTCCCTTTTGGCTTTAGCAAACAACACCTGTGTGAAACCAACTTTTATTGAGCTTAAAGACAGGTTTATGAAGCTCTACAAGAAAAAGGTACAACTCTTTAATCACTGTAAGACTCACAGTCACTAATAATTTGCATTATTGGGAGACACAAAGGGACTGCTTAGGAGTAACAGCCCAAGTCCGTGTTACCTGTCAAGGAATCATTCCAGCAGCTGCTGCTTAGGAAAGGTACACCCATGGCTGAGGCATGTACCCATGTTGCAGGCAGTACCCATGCTTTCTTCAGCTGTGAGGCAGTATCTGACAGACCTGCCTTCCAGTTGGTGCTGGGGTGACCTGGGCTGGTTGCCCTGTGCAGGGATTGTGATCAGTCCATGACACTTCATCCCTGCCAGCCCCTCCTCCTCACGCTTTTCCCCAGCTCCAGCCATGGGGTCCCTCCCACAGGGTGCAGTCCTTCATGAACTGCTGCAGCGTGGGTCCAGGTACAGTCCTTCTGGCAGAGACTGTTCCAGCCTAAGTTCCTCATGGGGTCACAAGTCCTGCCAGAAAACCTGCTCCACTGTGGGCTGGAGTTCCTGCCAGGAGCCTCCACCTGCAAGGACTGTCCATGGGCAGCTTCCTTCAGGGCACATCCACCTGCTGCAGCTTCCATGAGCTGGGGTGTGGATCTCTGCTCCACCACCATCTTCTGTGGGCTGCAGGGGACAACCTTCTATGCTATGATCTTCTCCACAGGCTGCAGTGGAATCTGCTGCAGTGCCTGGAGCAGTTCCCTCCTTCCCCACTGGCCCTGGTACCTGCAGGGCTGTTTCTCCTGCCCCTCTCTCACTCCCTCACAGCTTTTATGCAGCATTTCTCCCCCTTCTTAAACAAGTTGTCACCAAGGCACTGCCAGCACTGCTGATGGACTCTGCTCTGCCAGCAGCAGGTCCATCTTGGAGCCACTGGCTCTGCCCAACAAGGAGGCAGCTTCTGGTGTCTTCTTGCACAAACCATCCCTGTGGTGCCTCCACATCCCCCTGCCCCTCCAGCCTGGCCACACAAACCCAGTGCACTGTTGGTTCAGGTCTACCCCAGGAGGCAGAATATGGAAAGACAAATGTCTAAGAAACCAGCATTATCAACTGTGATTCCTTAGGAGATTGCTCCTCAAGTTGCCAAGTGTTTATCAAGGGAAGTCTTAAGTCTTCAAATCGACTTTGTGCAGTGCTTGCACTCCCCACAGTGCAGGCTGGGTGATACTTACTGAGCCAGAGGAGTGAGGAGCCAAGGAAAGGGTAACTCTGCTCTTGTTCTTCCCACAGGCTCACCTGCACCATTACTTGCATGTCGATGGGATGGAGCAAAGCTGCTTCTCTGAAGCAATCTCATCTTTGTCTGACCTCATAGAAGAGTACAATGAGCTGGATGCCACAAAAGGTGGGCCTAGAACAGACCCATCAAGACTGAAGATAGCTGTTTGAGGAGGGAAGAACTGCTTTTGTAAAGAACAAAACTCCCCAGAGCATCCAACCCCTTCAGCTAACCAGCAGGAACTGCAGCCTGCCCACCTCTTGTCATCCCAGAGCCAGACTGGGACAAGGGCTTCCTCAGCTCTCCTAGAGGGATCCACTGAAGTGACAGGCCCCACCTGTCAGAAATATCTGAAGGCACCTCGTTGTGGTGCAGACCAGGAAGAGCAATATTGCCAACTGTAGAGTGCCCTGACATCCCACATGCTGTGAAGAGGAAAGGTTGTAGCAGCCAAAAAATGTAGGTTTTGTCTCAAGCTTCCAGCTTCTGGTCAAATACAGGTCAGGCCTTGCTACTGAGGTGGGGTCTGTGTGCAAACAGCAGCTCTGGAGAGCAGAAGTCTTTTCAAAGGGGAAAGCAAGTCCCTGATGGAACTGATTTCTTAAGCTTTGCAGGACAGTTTTCATTTCAGGGTGCTCATCAGTTTAATGCTGTTGCTTCCATGGTGTACTCAGCTGTATCTGAGCATTCTGAGTTGATACCCAAACTGGCAATATCAGAAGATGCAACAAAATACTTTTTGTTTCAAGTATTATACTTGAAATATTAATGACATCTTTTAATGATTCATATTCATGAGTGCCGAGTTGCACAACAAACCTCTGAGTGAAATGTGCTCTTGTAATGAAGTTACAGTAACTGTTTGGAGAACAAAATTTACAGGCTTAAAAGAATGCAATTAAAATAGATGATTTAATATTTATAATGATGAGGGTAAGTAGATTTTTACATTACAGTAACACCTGTTACAAAACTCAAGGTACAGCTGTTCCCAGGTGCTTGCCAGGCTTGGCTGTGTTAGAACAGCCAGAGCAGGGAACTGCCCAGATCAGGATGGATCCACACAATCTTTCCTTGCAGCTTGGATTCTTCTAGCTGAGCTGGAGTGGGTGTGTAAGCACAATTTTCAATGTGTAAGTCCAGAATTGTTGAATAAAACTTTGTCATAACATCTGCTGAGAGTGGTTTCCTAACAAAGCATCCTAAAAATAGTAATTTTCTTGAAGTTTTGCCTTTCTGGTACCTGCAAGTGTCTGTTAGTTTGTTCCTTTACAAATGCATTGTTTATATTCACAGCTCCAGAGAAAGATTTCCTGGTTTAACAAGCAATCTGAGCTTAGAATTCACTTCTTGAAGCAGCCTTGGTGTGTTCTGCCCTTGCCTGCACCCGGTGGGAAGCATTCATTTGGTAAGGGTGAGACATGAGGTGTTGCAGGGTCATTCCTTTTCCCCACAGCTCAGTCAGACCCCTGTGAAGGTGTTTGTCCTTGTGGGCCACAAACCTGCCCTGCTGGGCCTTCTCATTGTGACCATGCCAGTATGAATGCAGCCTTCCCAAGGATGTATCTCCACTATACAAAGCATCACCCCTCAGAAGAGGGGCCCTCACTTGCATTTTCCAGGTGATACTAATAAAAAAGAGCATTCAGAGGTGTAGTTTGACTGTACCCGTGGCTGAGGTAGGGGGTGACACGTCCTCTGCTGCCCTGGACGGAGGTGTCACTTGTCACAAGGCTCTGAGCTCAGAGAAGGTGTCCCCTGGAGCTGTGCAGGCCCTCTGGCACACACAGGAGCTGATCCAGAGCATCCTCCACTGGAAGGAGCCTTCCTGGGGACACTCGAACTGAACGGTGACGGTGCTGGCCTCGCTGGGCACGCAGCACCTCCTGTCCAGGCACACCCCACAGAAGGTCAGTCTGTAGCTTCGTGTGCTGGAGCACCCAGAAAAAAACAGCTTTTCTGCTGCAGGCAGCTGGAAAGTGGGCTGGCATGTTTTCCCTCTGGGAATCTTTAAGATAAAAACAGGAAAGCCTGAATGTCTGCCTGTGCAAAACGGAACGTGGAAGGAAGAATTACAGTAGTGGTGTAAAATATCTTGGTAATTCCTGCCCTGAGAGCTGCTTGTTTCTCTTTGCAGTCAACAGATATAAAATACTTTCTGAGTGACTGAGCACCAGGACAGCACAAGCAGCACTTGCATTTCAAGACATGTTGTTGTGTTTGAGATTACATATCTGTGGTTTACTAGTAAAAGCTGAATATTGAAGGCAGAAAACAGAGAAGAACTATTTTTAAATCCTTAAGAAAAGGAAGAAGGTATTTTATATGAGTAGTTGCTAATACACTCCTTTTCCCATCTCTTCCAGACCTGGGCCAGGCTCTCACCACCCTCACACTCCACAATTCCCTCCTCATGTCTCACCTCAATCTCCCCTCCTCCAGTTTTCATCCATTCCCCCTTGTCCTCTCCCTCCCTGCCCTTGTCCCAAGCCCCTCCCCAGCTTTCCTGGAGCCCCTTCAGGCCCTGGAAGGTGCTCTAAGGTCTCCCTGGAGCCTTCTCTTCTCCAGGCTGAACCCCCCAACCCCCCCAGCCTGTCCCCAGAGCAGAGCTGCTCCAGACCTGTGTGAGTGCAGGGCAGAACCTGGAGTTTCATGACCAGCTGCTGTTACCAAGGCTCATCTGGAGCAGCTTTTGCTCCTCAGTTCACAGACTTTTTGCTTGGCTTGTGCCAA